CCAAACAGCCATAACTGGCACATTCTGATAACGTGTTTCAATAGCAAGAGACACACTTGTGAAAAACCACTCAATCACCAGTGGAACTGAGGTCTAAATGGCAAACTTCATTGGCAAGTTTCAAAAGGAATCGCCTTATAAGTAAATAAATTGAGTAAATAATAACAGACAGTTAACAGAGTATTATGGCAGTAGACTCAAACACCATACTCATGATAGCATTGCCTGCCTTAAGTCTCTCAAGGTGAGGAGTTCGAAAGGTTCCCCAGGGCACTGGGGTTATTTTCCAAGGCTGATAGCAAAAGTGATCGACAACCACCATGGTACTGCGTTCCACGACTTCCGTAATTCATACTTTACACTTGTTAAATTACGTTCTAAATTCTAGTTTAACTTAAACTGGTATTTCAAGAGGGAGCCTCACCTATAAGTCTTCATGGCTTTTCCGGACTTCCTCGCCTTTCCTTTTCCTATTTTATATTTCCCATGTATTATCTATGCAGATTAGCTTTGTTTTTCTTTCAATATGTAATAAAGGCAAATGATAAGCAAAAAAACAAATTTCGTGAGTCACTCCAAGCACTTCAATGTAAAGCACACCGTCAATTTCAGCTTGTAAAAGTCAACACACAACGGGAACATCCAAAGTACAATGGCACCAATAAGATATAAGAATATCCTGGATGAGTGATGTTCCATAATTGCTGAACAAAGATACGCAATTCATTGTTTTTTTTGGAGCGATTTTCAATTGGCCGGCAAAAATCAAAGTAATTACAACAGCCAATAATAACGAACTTTTGCATCGTTATTAGCCAATGAGGAAATACAGGCCAAGTACTAAAATTGGGGCAAACGACCAGTCACGATTCTCTTTTGTTTGGCGTGTACTTTGTTTCACACGTTGTGAGAGTTTCTAGACCAATCACAGACCGAAATAAAGAAAACCAAAGCAGTACAGGATTACTTTCTACAATCAGTTAAGAATTATTCCATATCAAAATTTCAATCAAACCACGAAAACTCGATAGCGATTCAGTGACTTAAGCTCATCCAAACCGAAAAACCTGCGACCTCTAAAAAGCTATGTTTCATCTAAAGCTTACTTTTTCAGCTTAAAATAGAGTTTCGTGAGAGAAGTTCCTAAAATTTCGCAGTTTTCTCTGGTTGCGTTCTCTTTCTTCGTAAATGTTTCCTGGTCTGTAGTCATAGGCGCCGAAAAACTTTATTTCAGCCTGTAAATGCAACAAAAAAAACAAACCAAAATTAATGAACAAACACTTCACATTTCCCAGGAAATGGTTCTCCGCATAGTGATTGGAATTCAGAATGTTAATTTAATAAGAAAAAAAAACAGGGAGAACCTGTTGAAGAACGCCGAGAGAAAAGGCGCGGATCAACAAAAATCTTAGCCGACATGAGAAGCAAGGTCCTGGATATAACCCAACCACAATGGTGGGAAGCAAGTGTTCTAGCAAAAATACCTTCCCTGGTCCTCAGGTGCATTCAGCAAGTGTGATTCGTGAATACCTCTGACTTAAGCTTGTATGATTTACAATGTTCTCCCGCCACTAAGTGACTTTTGTTTAAATAAAAATAGCATTTCTTAATATTATTTAAGAACCAGATGAATGAATACATCATTCGCTTTACAGACGTTTTCTTCCGTTGCCATCTTTTCAAACCGACTGTAAAGATCACTTCAAGTAAAATCGCTATAATTTCTAAAAACCACTGGGAATATAAAAGAAGAAGAAAACAATAAAGGTATTGTTTGCAGTTTGTTTTATGATCATGCACAACTCGTGAAACGGTAGCAATGGTTTCAAGTCACTAAAGACACTGGTGTGTTTTACCAGAAGGAAAGTGGACAGCTTAATTTATTCTTACAGTTATCTCTGAGAAAGATCAACAAACTAACCATGGTAGTGACTCGAGAAGCGTGAACAGTTCCAGGATTAACCCTTCGACGCAGCTGCTGCTTTCCGCAAGAAACATAAGGTTTTCGAATTTCGCTACTGATGTTAATCGACCTTCATCACTATCAAATTGAAAGGCATGTGACGTGCGCTTTTCCCTTCTTACCTTGTATGGGTTGAAGACTGACATAGTGTACCTCATGAATATGTCCCAGTACTAGTGGCTTGCTTTCATCAACAGGATCATGTGGCCTGATGTCTACATCATTGTCTAAACTGCTGACCACATGAATGCACGTTTTAAAGAGATTTGCTGCTGTACAGAGAATGAGGTGATCACCCCAAGCGCCATCTTGTTCCATATATGCTAAGTAATCAGCCCATGTTTCATGGCCATGGACAAAGTGAAACAGATCT